CTCCAATTTCCCATTCCTAATCCCGAACCAATTTTCACAAACCACACTTCAAACCATATTTGGATCCTAACCAAGAGCATATTTAAATGATTTGCTCCAAACCTCACACACAGAATCACCATAATTCCATTTCATTTTATGAATTCACTCTAATTCTCTCAATTTTCTCTCAACTTTTTCATCTCCAAACTCCATTAGAGCTTTCACCTTGAATTCTTTGATTCTCTATTGGAATCATTGAATTCTAGAGCTAAAACCTTCATCCGTATCATCTCTAATTCTCCATTCAATTTTCGTGCTATTGTGGATCTGAATTTTGAAGTTGATCTAGAGGAGCTTATTTGGATAATTCTTGCTTAATTTTGGCGGATCTTCATTTCTACTACAAGAACTCACTTGGATCTTGGAGGATTTCCGGATTTCTTGCTTGGATGTGCTCAATTGAGGTTGGATCAACAATTACCAAAGCAAATCTCCGTTTTGTAGGTTGAAATTCTAGATCTGTTGTTATTTTGAGCTTATTTTGCATATTCAATGTGGATCTTCATTTTTGATTGACTTTTGGTTGATTTGATCCATGTGATTTGTGATCTTGTTGTTTAATGTGTTTACATGTTGATTGGATCATTGTTTTCTGGTTTAAATTCGTGTATAATTGATTATACAATCATCTGGATTATTGGAGAAGTGACTAATTGCTGAAAAGTTCTTTTGAGTTGCTGTTTTCTGCTTCTGGTACAGTGTTAATCGATTAACCAGATGCAGTGCAAACTGGTTAGTCGATTAACCAGTGCGAATTTTCAAATTTTCAAACATTTTCAACTGGTTAATCGGTTAACCATATGTGTTAACCGATTAACATTGTGCCAGCAGGCCTGTTTTGTTGTTTTCAAGGTTGTTTTGGCGCACTCTCACTTTGAATCTTCATGGATCGATATGATGCATTAGGAGTGAGATGTTTTGGATATTGTGTTGTAGTTCTTGATTGTTTAATCATGATTTCTTTGACATGTGTGTTCGAATTCCACTTGAGTGCATGCTTATGGATGTGGTTCAAAGTGATGATCATTTGCATTGTTTCCTTTGCTTGCATTGTTTGGTTGAGATGTGCTTGTGGTGGCTGTTGTCCCACACTTTTTCCTCCCACTTTCCTTTGTGTTTGCATTAAATGTTTGCATCTCTTTCATTTCTTTCTACTTGTGATTGATTTACCTTGTGTTTTCTTGGTTTTCTTTGCCATGATCCCTTAGGATTCCTAGTCCCTTTGGGAGTAGGAGAGGCATTAGGTGTTCAATCCAAGCATGCTAACATTAGGGTAGATGTTCCCCTTTCAATCTCAACCTTAGGTCCACTTTGCATGACAACGTTAGGGCCGAGTTTCCCTTAGACCTTCTGTGCGTCTCTCTTCTCATCTCAAAACACATTCTAACTCATTTAATAAATACGATGAACGTTGTACGCTACGAGCCTTAAGCACTTGGGGAATGATGAGTGAGGGGTCTCTTCTCGCTTGTCTAGAGTGTTTAGTGTACGTCCCGTTTGGGGACGATATGCGACACATTCTTTCCTATGTCATAGTCTTCAGTGCAACGTGAATCACAAATCAAACTAATTCACTTGTTGTCTAAAAAATACAAATAAAACATCAAACCTTTTTATCCTTCGGATTAATTGAAAACCATTCTCAGAAAGAGTGTTGTTAACTCTTAGTTCTACCGCAAACAGGCATCGTCTCTAACTGCTAGAATGAAGGTTTAACTCTACTCGATTAAAACACATAATCAACCTGTGGTTTCGTATCAGCCCAAACTACGTGTGCTCTGATTTCTCGTACCAGACGAGGATATGTAGGCACAAGACGACGATGTCTTGGCGAGCAACCTTCCCACCTTCACCCGTAGTTTTCTGAACTACGTTGACTCTGACTTTCCCATGGCACGAAGGAATACGTAGGCATAGAGCGGCGATGCTCTATCGAGTCTCTTTTCTTTTCTTTTGTCATGTGAGCCTGTAGCTTAGATAGATAAACACACCCTTTGATTAGACAACAAGCGTGGATCCCGTTGAGTATAACGGACGTGAGGGGTACTAATACCTTCCACTTGCGTAACTGACTCCCGAACCCAAGATTTGGTTGCAATGACCTAGTCTTTTCCTTTTTTCGTAGGTTTTATCTGATCGTTTCCTTTCCCTCTCTTTGGAATAAATAATGAACGGTGGCGACTCTTTTGTTTTTCCGTCGGGTGTTTTCACAGTTGTGACTTTACCAGGACTTGAGGAAATTGTTTTGGTGGCCAGAGATGAAGAAAGAAGTGGTTGAGTTTGTATATGATGGTTAGACTTGTCAGGAGTCGAAGATTGAACATCAGAGACAGTTGGGTCTGATGCAACCGTTGAATATTCCATAGTGGAAATGGGATAGTATTTTCATGGATTTTGGTGGCCAGAGATGAAGAAAGAAGTGTGTGTGTGTGTGTGTGTATAATCAATTATAAAACTCATTTTAGTGTGTGCGTGCGCACGTGTGTGTGTGTGTGTGTGTGTGTGTGTGTGTGACTAGTCGTATAACTTTATGAGAAATCCCTTAACCTTTTACAATACTTATTCACTCAGACATATTAGAGAGAACTTTCACACACTTCTAGACTTGTCAAATACTTCAATCTAAGTTGTTAATATTGTAACTATCATATATTCTACAATTCAATTAAAGAAGCTTCCCAAGTTATACAAATCCTATTTTCTATTTGGTTATTAGATTGGCGACCGAGATGGTTAAACTGGTGGCCAGCATGATATTTCATGGTCGTTAGTGGTGACGAGAATGATGGTTGGTGGTGGTTACATATGAATAAAGGGGGTGATGAAATGTCATTAAAGGTGGTGATCATAAGTGTTTTGTGGGGGTTGGCGATGATCGGAGGTAATTGTAATGGTGGTCAAAATAATGGTCGAATTAGTGGTTAGAGAGGTAATTTAAATGGTGGTCGACAAAGCTCAGCAATGGTCACAATATTTATTATAGTGGTTAGTGATCATTGGTGGTGGTTAGCAATAATCGAAAGTGGTCGGTGGTCGTTAAAATAATGGTCAAATTAATGACAGACGATCGAAGCGGTGGTCAACAGTGACTGTAGTACTGGTTAGTGGTAGTCATAATAATTATTTAAAGCAGATCCTTGGTGATAATAGCATAACTTTAAAATAAAAATACGAATTTAAAAACTTATTTTTTCAGTTTTAAATTTGAGTGAAAATTATATAAAAATTAAGTCAAAAAATAAAATCAAGTCAAATAAATTTTAATTTCAAAAATGATTTTAAAATAAAAAATTAAAAACTCACAATGTAGAACCATTTAAAACTAAACCAACTTTATGATGAACATGAAGTTTAATATTTTAAATTAAAACAAAATGTTTGCTAAGTGGTAGACGTATCCTTTTTACATAATTTAGTGTAGACAATATCTTAATGCCCAAGATAGCCTAATTCTTTTGCCAAATACGGTCTTAGTTCTAATATCTTATTTGTAAACTTTAAAAAAAAAAGTGAGATTTTTGTTGTTTTTGTTGTGTAGTAGACTTTATGATTTCTCATATTTTGTCTTTTGTCACTTTCTTACTCAAAAGTAACTAGAACTTGTAAACTAATAACTCTTGTTTTGTTTTTTAGCTTCACACAATTTGTGCTTTTGAGTGGATAACAACTACAGGATGATGTGGATATTTTATCATGGTAAAAAGAAGGTGTACTTTTTAGGATAAATATCAACATCTAAAACAACTATTAATTATATTAACTATACTATATAAAAAGAAGTACAAAGCATTGTTAATTTGGATTTTAGTTAGTTCTTTTTTATTTTCAACTTTTAATACTATGGGCATATTGTTTTACATATATAAATTTAGAATCCAATTGATTTTAATTCAAAATCATTACCATCCACATAAAATTATCACTTCATAAAAAAGTACGAGTAAAACGAACATATTCGATAAATTAGACCCATTTTACCACCCCTACAACTCACATAAAATAACTTTAATTTTCTCAAAATTACCCATTTTAAATAGAAATCATTTTATCTTAACTTACGATCAATTAATTTTACATAAATTTTCAAGAATAATATTAATTGTTTAAATATTTTTAACAATCTTAATTTAAACTAAAAATATATAATTTCTCATGTAAGTGAATGCATTTAATGAGTCCACAGTTTTAGAAGAAAGAAAAAAAAGATTACCATCAGCTCCTTTAAAATATACCCTTCCTTAATCTGATCTAGACAATTTCATTTTTTATTTCTAATAATGATAATAAAAATGATACTACTTATTTTATATTAACAAAAATAGCAAACGGATGAAAAACGTGAATCTAAAATCAAACAAAAAATAATCTATCTACATTCAATGTAATTTCACTAAGGTTAAAAAAAATACTAATAAATTAAATATTTTCTTTAATCTTACGCCATTTTCTACAGCTGTGACATCATGAAAAAAGCACTGTGACATAAAAAATAAAAATAAAAACAGTTACGTGAAGACTCAAACTGGTGAAGTGTTCCTAGTCAAGTTTCATGAAGAAAAAAAATAAAATAAAAAAATTTAACTTCACAAAAAAGTGTAAAACCACAAGTTCTATGAATCCAAAAAACAAGAAATTTAGTATTTAAGGAGTTATGTTATGTTCCTCACACACAACACTGTCTTTTCTTAACAACCTCAAATTCCTCAAAATAATCTTTCTCTCTTCATTCTCTCTCTTCTCTTATCTTCTAATCATTTTCACACATTCTTAGTAAAATTATTGTAACTTATTTATCATCCTTATCAAATCTTCTTGATCAAAGGTTTGTTTTTTGTGTGATTTTTTAGAATTTATTGTTTTGTTGTTAGAATCATTATTATGAGATGAAGTTAATGAAATTTTTATGTTTTAATTTTTTGGTTTAATGAAACAGGAGTTAGTTTAGTTTGTGATTAATTATGATGGATGGTGCAATGGAGAAAAATTCAAGTGATGAGAATTTTGAATTGCCACCTGGTTTTAGGTTTCATCCAACAGATGAAGAGCTTATAACTCATTATCTCTCTCAAAAAGTTCTTGATAATTGCTTTTGTGCTTTGGCTATTGGTGAAGTTGATTTGAACAAGTGTGAGCCTTGGGATTTGCCTTGTAAGTTTCTCTTCATATTATATCTTTTATTCCATAATTTATTATCAAGTTTTTATAGGTCTGGTCTAATTTCCATACGCGATTATTATTAAATATTATTATTTAAGTATCTAAAATTTTGATTTTTTAGGAATTATTTGTAGGTATCTAATGTTGATTTTTTTTTTTGTATTTTTTTATAAATATTTAATTTTTTTTAAGTATTTAATTATTTTTTTATTGTGTAGGGAGGGCTAAAATGGGTGAGAAAGAATGGTATTTTTTCTGTGTGAGGGACAGAAAATATCCTACTGGTTTAAGAACAAATAGGGCCACATGTGCTGGATATTGGAAGGCAACAGGTAAAGACAAAGAAATTTATAGAGAGAAGACATTAATTGGAATGAAGAAAACTCTTGTTTTCTACAAAGGAAGAGCACCTAAAGGAGAAAAAACAAATTGGGTCATGCATGAATATAGATTAGAAGACACATATTCTTTGCAAAATACATCCAAAAGGGCCATGGTAAATCTTTTCTCTTACAACTTTATCACTTTATTACTTACTACTTAAATTTCTATCAAAATTTTAAATTATGTTTACAGTCACGCAGTTGCGAATGATGCGGTTAAAAATATTTTTATAGAGATTTAAAGTCATTTTAAATTTTTCGGAATTTCGTTTATATTTATTATGGTTTTACAGACTCTCTTTTATTATGATTTAAACATGATGAATATTTTTTTATTATTTTTTGTCACGACTTAAATGTAATAAATTTTAAATTATGTGCAACAGTCTACTTTAAACGCATTTAAAGACAGTCTTATAGACACCTAAGATCATCGCTATGATTTTATATCATAATTTAAAATCGTGATTTTGATAAATATAGTAATTATAATTGTTTTTTTTTCTCAAAATATATTCAAAAGGGTTTTGGTGATAATCTTTTCAATACTTTTTCACCATAGAACTATGAATATAGATACATTTTTTTTTTGTATGTTTTTTAAAATTAGGTTTGGTTTGTTTTCAGAGGGAATGGTCTATATGCAGAGTTTTTGAGAAAAGTTCAATTGAAAACAAAATGCAAATCCAAGATTTGGTAAGGTTCAATTCAAAAGGAAAAGAACAACTACCTCCATTGATGGATTCATCACCATACAATAATAATGAAACAAAAACAACTATTGGAGAATCTACATCACATGTGACATGTTTCAATGACAACAACAACAACATAGTTGATGATAGATTTGAAAATCCTATGTTAACATCTTCATATTCTTCAAACCCTTCTTATGATACTTTCTCATGGACCCAAAATTTGTCACACCAATCGACACAAATTGGAAACTCATCACAATCCTCACAAGAATCCATGTTGAAGATGTTGATTGAAAATAATGAGACAAAAAATCAGAAAGATCAAGAATGTGACATTGACATTTCTACTATGATTTATAATGATGAAATGTTTCAAAGATCTTATGTGAATGAAGAATATTCATCAGCTTCAATAGGACATTTTGATAATGGTTGCTTATGGAGTTTCTGAAGATGAAGGTTGGAAGATATTGTACAGATTATAATATTAAAAATATTAAAGTTAGGAGTTAATTATGTTATAAATGTATATTAGTTGCATTTAAATTTATGTTATACTAGAAAAATACATGAAATGGATGTATTCTTAAATACTTAGTTGTATTTTTTGGTATAGTTTTCAAAAGATGTATTGCTTGACAATTATATAAAAGGCTAAAGTATATTTTTAGTCATTTATTTTGAATTGAATTTACTTTCTTAACTTTGAAAATTTTCAATTTGGTTATTTTTTTCCCCAAAGTGGTCTTGTATTTTTGCAAAACCTATACCACTTTGTTTTTTTTAATGGTCTTTAGTTGTATAAGAGTTATACCAATTTCTTCATATTCAAGCAAAATAATATTAAGGACACAATAAAATATAAAGTTAAAATAAGAGACATATTTGACTTTAAAAAAATTACAAAATCAAACTAAGAAATAAAATAAAGAATAAATTTATATTATCATTTATAAAACTAAAATTATTGTGGTTTGTAGTAGCTAGATTTTTGTTTTTGTTATTTTTTTTTAAATGATCAAAAGAGTCTCACGTTGTTTGAGAATTGATACTAAATGTAGTTTATATACAACACTCATACACTATAATCTAACGAGTTGTCTTTTCTGAAGATTAAAGTTGTGAGGGTTCTCACACCTAAAGCAGACAATACTGCTTAGTTGTAGTAGCGCGAACATGAGGTTGACTAGAACAATAACGTCGTATATGAAAATTCAAAGTTCACATCGTGCCCCTTAGCCTTGACTGGGAACAACTGTCATGGGCTGACCAAAATAACATAACAAACAAAAAATCTACTACGAATTTCTCTTTTAGAAAAGATGTCTTGTTGGATGTCAGCTCGGAACAACCGCCCCCTAGATGAGACTTATGGACATTGTTCAAATTTTGAGTTCCCATTGAGGGTGGAACGTTGGCATCTCAGTCTGTGGGAACCCAAAGTTAGCATCATTCTCCTTAGCACTGACTTGGAATAACTATTCTTGGTTGACCAAACTAACATAACAAACAAAAAATATACTACATGTCAACCTCGAGTTCGCACCATTACGGCTACGAGATATTGTCCACTTTGGGTGTGAGAATCCTAACGAATTTGTCTTATAGAAAAGGCACTTTGTTGGATGTCCGCCCAAAACAGTTGCCCTTAGTCGATACTAAAGGCCACAATGCAAACTTTGAGTTCCCACAAACGGCTCCAATGTTTTAGTCGACCTCAAGTCTGCATCATTGCAGCTACGAGATATTGTGCACTTTGAGTGCGAGAATTCTCACAACTTTGTCCTTTAAAAAAGATGCCTGATTAGTTGAGGGGTATGAGTGTTGTATATAAATTACCCTTAATCTCAATTCACAAGCAATGTTGGACTATTTTGGCTATGCCGAAACAGTAGACCCTAGTCAAAGCTAAGGGACGCGATGCAAACTTTTGGTTCCCACAAACGACACCAATGTTTCCGTCGACCTCAAGTCCACGTTGTTGCACCCTAAAATTTTACCAACCGATTCTCCTATCTGACTCGTGGTTTAAATTCATATTCGCAAATCAGACGCATGATATTTGTGCACAGACAGAGGATATCAGGGTTACAGCTTGGTTTTCGTCTATCAGATACGGCAGATCCAGTCCAGATCATCAGGGTTTTATTTTCGGGAAATTTGTGCGCTCCTCGGTGATTTTTAGCTTGCATAGTGATTTTGGGATATTCTGATGCCCGGGGTTCTCTGTTCAATTCGATCTGGTCTCGCGCGCTCTTTTATGGTGGTCATTTGCATTTGTCTGCATTTTCAGGGTTTAATAGACTTTTGTGGATTTTAAATAGGCATTTTAATCATTTTTAGGATTTAAATAGATTTTTTTAGAATTTTAAATAGCTTAAATCTCTTTTTAGAATTTTATATAGATTTTTAAATAGAGTTAATAGTTTTTTAATCATTTTTAGAATATAAAAGATTTTAAATAGTTTTAATTGTTTTAGATAATATAGAAAATATTATAGATTTTTCTTTTACGTTAATAGGGATTTTAATAAATAGAAATAAATAGGGTATTGTTTTAATATAGTTTTCCTTTTAAATAGATATTATAAATAATAGTGTAGAATTTTAATAGGCATTTTATAGAATAGGAGTTAAATAGAACTTTAATAAAGGTAATTAGATTTTTAATCATTTTTTAGATTTAATTAGGGTAATTAGTTTAATTAGGTGTTAATTCTGTTTTTAGGTTTAATCAGGTTAATTAGGGTTTTAATCATGTTTAGGTCTAATTAGGATTAAGATAGTTTAATTCTTGGATTAGTCAAGTTAATTAGTTAATTAGGTCTTAATTTGTTTTAATTAGATATAATCAGATTTAGTTTTTTATTTCAGTTTTTCAGGTTTTTTGATTAATTTTTCGTTGGGCCCAGAAGTGAATTTTTGAAGGTCCAGAGTCCAATTCAATTTTTTTGTCCGTTTTGGCCACAGAAAGTGACACTTGTCACTATAAAGGGGACCCACCACACCAACTCAGAGTCTCCCTCCTGGTGCCACTTGCCCCACTACACTCTGCCACACGTCTCACACACGTCTCACACTCTGCCAGCACTCTCACTACGTGGCACCACCACAAGCTTCACCGGAAACGCCCTTGACCGACATGCAAAGCCGGTGACCTCCCACCGCCGGCAGCCCCAACCGTCACCGGACCGCCGCAACCACCCGCCGGAGTTGGTTTTCAACCCAGAATCATCCAAACCCTTCGTTCTTCTCCGATCCTCCTCCGTCCCCCTTCATCTTCTCCTCATCGGAAAATCTACCACCGCCGGAAACTTCAAGAACAATTCTCCAGATCACCTTCCATCTTCACTGTTCTACAAGCGCGATTTTCCAGAACGCGTTCGAACATTCATCTTCCTTCAAAGATTTTCCAGAACACGTTCGAACATTCATTTTTCTTGTTCTTCAAAGAAATCTCCAGAAGCAGACCTTCATCATTCTTCAGCGAAAACCCAGAAAACCCTCAGACCTTCGTCATTCTTCACCAATATTCCAGAAAACCTCCAAAGCGCTCATCAGTTTCCCAGAAAAACGCTAAGAGCTTCAATCGTCTGGTTTCGTCGCTTCCAGAACGCCAACGCCTTCATCAAAATTTCCAGAGCAAAGTTGAATCTTCTTCATCCGTCCAAAGACCTCCACGCCAAGAGATCCTTCCTTGCTTCGTCAGGACCATCGTCAATATCCACGCGCGGAGTGAGATCACTAAATCTCAAAAACGTCATCGTTAGCCTCGTCTACACGAAGCTTTCTCCAGAAAGATCGTCATCTTCCTTGCTTCGTCCAGGTTTGGTCTCTTTCCTTCTCATAGTCGCAGGTTTAATTGAATTAGGGTTTGTTTAGACGATGTGAAGTTTGGGTGTTGTTTCAGATAGGGTTAGCTTAGGTTGAAGGGATTCGAACTTGGGGATGGTGATGTGTTTGAGGTTGGTGAATGTTGGAGAGCTTTTTTTTCCCAGAAGAGTTGCAGAGAGAGGGTGAGGGTGATGAGAGAAACGGCGCATTTCCGTATGGTGAACAGAGTTTAGGGTTGGGGGAAGGGAATTAGGTTTTGGTAACTGGTTAATTGGGCTAGGGTTTGGGCAGCGTTTGGGCCCAAACTGGTTTTGCTGAGACACCCCCGTGTTGCTCAGTACTCCCCCCCTACGAGAGAGGAGATAGAATGGAATTGGACTGGGCCTTATGCCCACTGCTATTCGCACCCCCCATAGCATGAGCCCATTTTAAAATGAACTGAAAAACTTACTAATTGCACCCCCATGCGTTTGTTTTTCTCTGTTTTTTTTAATTTCCTTGGGCCTGCGCCTTTTGCTAGGCGCACCCCCCCATTCTGGCCCACCTTAGACTTTCAACCTGAGAGCATGCTGTTTGAACCCCCCTCCCATTTATTCCAATTTTGTTTTCTTTAATTTCTTTTACTATCTTCTTGCAACTTGTATAATTCATAATAAAAGGAAAACAATTGATTTTTGAGTTCTTGTTTTTTCTACCACCTCATAATAATGTCTAGAAAATTGTATAAAAATAAAAATGCCATTTTATTTTTGTTTACTATTTTTGGTATATTTTCCATTTAAATGACTTTTTTAATATTTTTTAGTGCATGCATATTATTAGAAAATTCATAAAAAATAGTAGATTCGATCAAATAATTCCGTTCTTTTTTCTGTAGCCTTGTAATTCAATGTAGAATTTTATAGTACAAAAACATTAGCTTAATCATGCATTTTCATTTTAATTGCATTTTTTGCATTGTTATTGATATTGAATAATTGGTTTGTGGCCCGTCTGCCTTGTTGATTTTAGTTCTTTCATCTGGTAATGAATTTTACTCTGATTTTTTAGTATGTGGTACTAGACTAATGTAGGTTTCCCATAGATTTTTGATAGATTTTTGTAGGATGTTCTGATATGTTTTAGTCTGAGCTTGAGGATAGGAGAAGTCTTGATGGCTTCTGACTTTGAAGTTCAACTGTGGTTGAACTTCAGAGATAGTTTCTTGTGGTTTGAGGACCTGTGGTTTCTTCTTGAAGATGGAGGCCGGATGAAGTCCTGTTGGAGCTTGCAAGGATGCAGTGGATCGAGGTCTAGTCTGGGAGCTTGTTCTCTGTTTGTGAGGTTCGAGATCCTGAAGTTTGAAGGGAGTTTATGGTACTTTCCTGAGGAAGGCACTATGAATGACTTTCATTCTTTCTTCTCACCTCTTTCGTAAGTATCCAATGATGTTGGAGCCTTCATGTGAGTTTAATTTCTCCTGAGGAGGAATATAAACTGATCACAGTTGTTGAGCCACATGGGATACGATTCCTAAGTGGAAGCCTCCTAGTACTTTCCTGAGGAAGGTCCTGAGGGTCTGCTCACTTAGTTCCTCTAGTTCATCTAGGATTTCTTAAGTATCCAATGATGTCGGAG